TTGCAAAGAGACAGAAAGGAATTCAATGTTGTCCTGACATGCTGTTGCATGCCTGAAATAGTGACTGTGCATTGGTACCTCAAAAGAGCAAAAATACTCTGCTCAGCCTTCAAGGTTGCAGTATTGATTGGCAATGAAGTCAAAAGTTCAACAAACTTACTAGTTGGCACCTCAAAAAGCGAAAATAATCTATGATTGCAAGGGATATAGATTCCTAAGACCCCCGTGCCTCACTGTGGACATAGATAGAGTCACCTTATATGTTAGTAACCTCACAAAAGCAAAAATAATTTACCTGGCCTTCATCAAAGGATCACTTGGTACAAGAAAATCAGAAAGACATGAAAATGCAAAAACAAATCCAGCCAACACCCAACCAGGCATGTACAGCCCAGAAACTCTCTCATATACAGAAAGAGGGGGAGTAACCCCATCATGTAGAGCTTCCTGAAGCACAACAGAAGCATGCCTCTCCATACAGAGAGGCGTCTACATGATAGTTGGAGCACAAGGAGAGAAAATTGCAAAGATAAACCAATAACACACACAGCCAAACATGACATAATGCATATAGTGTAGTCATCCTTGCTGTGCATTTGTTGGGCATTTCTCATGTTATCTTGAGGTTGTATAGAGCTTAAAAAACCCATTGAAAATTATCCTGCAAGTACAATTTGGTTGGGGCATCAGAGATTGATTGATACTTGGATGTCTTACTAGTAGACTGGGAGCAGCTTGTTGATGGTGCTAGGTACAGGTTCAATCAGTGCTGTGGTTGTTGTGGGGTTGAGTGAGTCAAAAAGCAAACAAACAAACAAACAAAGAGTCTTGGTGTGTTCAAACTAATGCTTAAACCAAAAATCTTAGAAGTCAGATTGTTGCATAAGTCAGAAAGCAAGGCCCAATCAAATTTACTAATGAGCATTACATCCAACCAACAATACCATATACACCTGTGATTGACAGTTTAAGAGAATCCTGAACCTGATGCTGCTGATCTATTTCCAACAGTAAGGACCATTCAAAATGTTCATTTGGATGACTGAAAAATCAGGCGTTGTATGAAGCATTTATTGTACTATGTAGTTTATGTTGAGTTTGTGGTTGTCCAGTTTAATTGGCTATCTATTTGAGTTAAAACATTATGGGGGCACAGTTTTTTCCTTTGAGGAAAGTCTTAATATGGTTAGAGAGGGAAAGAGGAAATTATATAATTGGTTACAGAAGGAAAGAAGCATTACATACATGGTTACAAAAGAAGAACTATGTCTAAAATGGTTAGAATTAATACCAAGAATAAGGAAAGCAATGATGACAAAGAGGAAAGATGACACAAAGGAATGGAATGGTGACATAAAGGAAAGGAAAGGTGGCACAAAGGGAAGGAATCATGACTAAGACAAAAGGAAACATCACACAAACAAAAGGTTAGCTTACTTTCTCAACAAAAGGAAAGGTAATCCTTAATTTTTGCTCATCCCCCCTAATCTATCTCTCCCTTCCCTTATACCTATCCTTTACACTCAATCTCATATCCACTAATCTCTCAAACATCACAAAATACACTATCTTACTCATCCCTCAACTCCATCACACCTCCACCTCCTCACTTCATTTCCCCCTTTTCCTCTTTTTCCACTACAATCCTATCATAACAACATCTCTCATCCCTTCATCTTTCTCCTTTCTCCCTCTTTTTCCCTTCAACTATCCTCTTCACAGTCCTCCTCACAGTCCTCCTCTCATCTCTCACTCAATCCTTCCATACTAATACTCTAAAATACAATGTCTTCATCACCACCCACACACCCCTCAGCCCCCTACCATTTCACTCTCCACTGACCCATGCAATATGTAGACCACCTTTGTCAATCTTCATCATTATATTTCACTATTTTAACACACTCCATACAATTAAATCTATCATTACCAACCTGCCTATTACCCACCAACATTCATTTGGATTAACTAGTGGTACTACCCCAACACTATCTTCCCCCTGACAGTCTCTGTACCTGCTGATAGACGGACATCTAACATCAGAGCCACAGTAGTCATAGCCTGGTATTCCAAAGCTCCTCCCACAATCTCCCTACCCTATGTTCTCTTTCTATGTTCTCTATCCTTTTCTAATCCCTCTCATCTTCTCTTCCAGTTCTTCCTCAAGCCCCTCTCCCTCTCCCTCTCCCTCTCCCTCCCACCTCTATCCAGCCATCCCTCAATAAAATTCAACATTATCCCTATCAGTCTTTCTCTCCTCCATATATCTACTGCCTTACCCTTTATTATGTGAAGCTATCTCTCATGTCATCCTTAACCCCAGCCAAGATTATCTTCTCTCCACCCCCCTTTTGATCAGTTTGGCCTCTGTTTCCACACAGCCCTCAACCTGTCTCCAAGAAAAATACTGTATATAGTGATCTTGATCATCCAGTTTTTGCATGCTATTATTCAGGCTTTATCTCTTTCAAGACCACCCTTCCAACTTCTCCTTTAGCCTCCACCCAAACTAGACCCAAGCCCCCCATGCCTTTGCCTCCATCATCAATCACCCTGACTAAGCTCATATCACCAACTTAGGCCCTGATGGTGATGCCATGAAGAAGTTGTATGAGTTTTTATACTCTTTGATCAATGCAGCCAGTGTTCATCCAGAGCAGACCTGGGAAAACATCATCCAGCACTTCATATGGTTCAAGGCTTCTCCAGCACTGATGGCAATTTTTATGAGTCCACTGACTTTGCAAAATTAAAGTACTTTGTCAACAACACTTGCATCACCCATACTCTGTGGTACCAGAAGGACTCTGCCCTTCCCCAATTCAAGTCAGCCCTCTCACTCTTCTCCTCCCTTATGCTGTTCTCATCCCTCCTATTTTAGATGAGTTATAGCTATTCACTGTAAGGTCTCAGCCCTTGGACACCCCACCACCTTTAATATGCTTTTTAAGTTTTAGCAATACACCTCCTCCTTAGGCTTGGAACCAGCACTATGAGCCAAGGGTCTTCCTCAACCCTAACTATCAGTGGATAATTGTTGGACAAGAGACCTTGCACCTCTCAAGATTTTACCATGGCATTCAATCTCTCCTTAAACAAATTGAGGACAGGTACCTCCTCCTCACCTATGGTCGCACCATAATGGTTGGCCTCCCTAACCTATGTCATAGATGACATGACCAACTCTATTCCTGGCCATTCCTTCATCAATTATGACTAATTCAATCCCCTCAGGCTCCAGCTTTTCTTCCATCTCATTGACATACATCACTTAGTCCATGGTTGATTGGGACTGGCCATCTCACCTAGGATATACCCGCAGTAAAAGACATTCTTCACCATATCCGGTAAGATATGGAAGCCACTCTATTATCTTCTCTATCTCACATCCCAATATCCACTAGAGATGTCCAATTTTTGCAAGACCAAATCACCAATGCCAACCAACACTGAAACATTCTTGCACTCCTGCATTTATTCATTTAAAATTGGCACAATGGATGGTCAAGTTCCTTGCAGGTGGCTTGAGGCATGCAGAATCTCTTCTGGCATATGTCACATATGGTGTGACTGCCTATCATGAATACAACATGTATGTTTTCTTGTCATACTATCGCCTGCCCACATTTTCACCTTATCCCAGCTTCCTCATGATGGACAACAGTCATAGAATAAACCTGAACCAATAGTAATCAATATTCTTCACAAGTCAACTGAGAGCAACTCCAGTGTGCCTAGGGCAGTACAGGATTTCAGGCATGGTGCCATAGCTATCGCTAGAGAATTCATCTCTCTTAAACATGCTTTCTCTCTCATTGATAACCTACTGGCCAAGAGTGCAGACCACTCCACCCACATCGACCTACATCCATTATGGCAACCTTCATGGAGCCATCCCTCAACTCACCAACAATATCATGGAGAAGCATTGCTTGCTATTGAAGGAATGGCAGTTGTTCTGCAGCCTTGGTCCTGGTGAGCCCCAGCAATCCCATTCAACAGAGAAGAGTTGAATAGGGCATCTGTATCATCCCCTAATCACAGTGGATCCTCTTCCATTGACATCTCAGCCATTTCTGAGGCCATTTTAACCAGCACTGCTGCAGCATTAAAGACTTACCTGTAGGACAACTTGGTGCCACTCCTTTGTGATATTGTCACCCATAATGTCCTACCTTCCATCCTTGATACCCTGCAGTGCAGGGAAAACAACTCAGAACTTTGCTCCTGCTCCCACGATACAATTAGGCATTGGTACTGGACATCATGTACCGGTTGAGCCCCAAGCTATATATCTAACAATATTCTTCTATTCAAACCAGCATTAACTAAGCCTTGATGCACATAGGTCCTGCTTGCCAAGAAATTCCAGCATCCTAATCCACCCAGGGCCTCTTACATTAAAACAGAGGACAGTGACATAAAGTGCATTGACATGGATGAGTTCTATGCCCAGCATCTCGCCATATTGCCTGCTCAGTCCTCATTCCATTCTTCCTGCCACACCATCCCTTATACTATTCCTGACTGTCAGAAAATTGATTGCCCACTCAGTCCTCATCCTCTGCTCATGTCCATGAAAAAACAAAGTTGCCCATTCAATCCTCGTTCTTGCCCTACAGCCTTCCTGCTGCTCCCACTGTCACAGTTCCATCACAAACATCCTCTTAACCCAGACTCATCAAACTGGTTGAATGACAGGGAGGAACCTATTCAGTCCACAAAAAGCATTCAGCTAGTAACCTCTTATCCTGATGTCACCAACTTGTGTATCAAAGAAGAAACTGATAAACAACCTATTCTACTGGTGGCTTCCTCGTCACAAACAAAAGATCAATTAATTGAGGATGATGATGATGACCATACAGTCTGCCGGGAGGCTTCCTCTTCTTAATCTGATGATCTGATAAGTATGGATAATGATCAAGAGATGGAGTTCCTGCCACACTTTTCTCATCACCCTTAAGACAGGAGGTGGCAAGAGTGCCCTGTAGATGATCATGCCTCTTATCAATCCTGGCCAGTGGTACATCATCATCTGCCCATTTGTCATCCTCCTGGAGGAGTAAGTAGAAAAATGCCTGCAATTGGGGCTTAGGGCACACAACTTTACCAAAGATAAGAACATTCCTGCTGAACATTCACATTTTTTTGTGTAGGTAGAGAGTGCTTCTTTCAAGGTAATTCCAGGAGTAATTTGCCATTATGGGAATCACCTTCATCATGACCTCATAATTCTATCTTATATTTAGGTTCCTGGCATCTCCCCGAGGACATTCCTTTATCAAAGTATTTCATGATGAACACCATGACTTCCTGGTGTGTTATCCCAAACGTAAAGAACAATGGATGTGTCTTGCTGCACAATTTTTCCTAATGGCCAAAGCAAATCAACCTTCTCTCAGCAATTTCCCCCTCATCCAGTAATTCTGCTTATCTGAAAGCCTTTTCCATCCAGCCCAAGGAGGCCCTCATCTATCACACCTGCATGGATCAACCAGAGATAGGATTTCACATCTTGAACATCCTTTCACACTATTTCAATGCATCCCTGAAGTCCCTCATATGTGGGCTGCAGTTGAAGATGATTGGATCAGATTGCATGCTGGTATTTTTCAACTTGAACAGAGAAGTAGATGGATGGTGGAGAGACCAATATCATGACTTGTACCACTGCCTTCGCCCAGGGAGTTGACTAAAGCTCTGTGTGATTTGTGGTGATCAGCAAGGTTGAGTATGGTCTTCTGGTGGTGAAGCAGATGTCTGGATGTTCAGGACGGGACGGAAGTGAGGCACATACATTCTACCTTACTCAGAAAACAAGTCTGTCCATGTTTCAGAGCAATCAAGACCACCACTACATCAAAGGCCTGGATGATGCCTGTTTAGCAATCACTGCCCATAAGGTCAGGGCACTCACCTTGTGGTAATGTTGTTCCTTTATATCCTTATGATAAATTACTGACCTAGCAACAAGTATTCTCAACTGCCAGCATCCAAGGCATAGCAAGGTGCTAGCCCCTCCTTCATCACTGCCTGTCCCTTTGCCATCATTATCATTCAGGAGTGACAGGGTCATGGGAGGAATTCAAAGTTGATTGAATTGTACTTTGCTCCTTGACAGGTACATGAGGAAGTTACAGAATTACTGCCCAGTCCATTTTGCCATCAACTCCCAAGCTCATCCACAGCATGGTCCATGTGCCTTGGGATGCCAGGGCTATAACTCCATGTACTCCAAATTCAAGAAGAGTTTCATCTTTCAAAGATATACTTACTGCTTCAATTGTGCCTTGCCACAGAACTACAAACACAGCAATGAGTAGCCATCATGCCACAGTGCAGTGTCTTATAAGACAGGAGGATCTTGTCCTTTTGCAGGTTTCATCTTTAAAGCTGTACACTGTCTTTGGAACTCAGATGAAGCTATGGTGTTGGTGGGGACTTTGGGCATACATGCCGGCTGGAACAGCTTCCAGGAGTTCATATCTTGGAAGAGAAGGAGCAAGGCAGGTACATTAACCTCCTAGAGCTCTTCATTGCATTTTGTAAGAAGTTGGAGAGGTCTCAGCCTAGTTTTTTCCTATAGACCAAGTATTTTCCTCCCCCCCCTCCTGCATTATTTACATGTCTGTATGGCAAAATCTAAGCTTCCAATGTACCTCCACCATATGTTCAAACTGAGTTCAGACTTTTCCTGGTACATATATGGTTTCTAGCTTTGTATGCCCAAGGAGCAAGTGTCCTCAAAAGCCCTCCATCATTTGAACATGTCTACTAATGTCCTTTTCAGGGCACAGTGGGTGTGGAGTCAAAAAATGCAGTGATTCATTATAGGCCTCTTGGTGAACTCTTGTTCAACCAGTCTTGCAGAGAGCAAACCTTCCATTCATTTAGAATCAGCACCCACTCCTCACCAGGCTGGATATCATGACTGCACACCCGCCAGCTGGCTATGTATCAACATTGCAAACAACCACAGATGTCCAATATACAGTAATGACAAAATGCTTACAACACAGTTAATGTTTTTGAAGGTTAACAGTTGGTACCATATTTATTTCTGTGTCATCAACTTATCATTGAAGAGCAACGTGTCTTGCAAAAGTAACTGCCTGTAACATGATGATAGTGATTGTAAGTGATTGTAATGATTATAATGCAATCATGACCTTGTGATAATCCAAGATAATTTTATAGGGAATTTGCTGATGGCGGGTAGGTGGCATCCACTGTGATGAACAATGCATTTGGACTGAACATGTGTGATCAGAATTACCTGATCATGGTGCAGGCCACATAATGTTGGGTAAATAGCTGACTGCGACCAGCAACACCTTTCTTTTCCTCTGTTCTTCCATTTTTTTCACAACATATATGCTAACAATAGGAACAGAAATTTTACAGTAGGTGGCAATGTGACAGGTTTATCTCATATGGGGCTAGGAACAGTCAACATTGGCACCATAGTGCCTTAGCACAGTAGTGCTGCCAGGTCTTGTGACGTGTTCAGCCTCCTCAGTGACGATGGGCAGGTAGTTAGACTTATGCAGGCCTGTTCTGGTCATAAGGCTGTGTTGGCTGGTGTTATTAAAAATGATGAGCGTGGGGTGAAACAATCTAAGGCCAGTGTCCTCCCCCGACTGTTGTGTCACCCAGCCTCATTTGTACTAAAGCCAGATCCACTGATGCATCCAACACACACATTTCCCACCCATCCAACACCACCTCATCCGAATGCCACACACATCAGCAAGTACTGTCACTTTTGCTGGGACCAAATTCAAGTGCCATTCTCCCATAAATGTGTCAAGTGTGATGCAATTATCTGTCAGCAGTCTACTACTTAGACCCTATTTCAACACAGTGGAGGCCAGGAGGGAGTTCCTCTGCCCAATTTGCTGTAGAACAGGAGTCAACAAGAACGCTCCTTTGCCATACATCTTGTTTGCACATTCATTGAGGCAAAATGTGAAGATGACCTGGCCTATAGCCCTTGTGAACCTCAGTCTGGAGTCCATGAAGGACGAATACATAGCTTTGATAGATGCATAGTGAGATTGAGAATCACTACAAGAATAATCCCAAAAATGTATGTAGAACTGGCTTGTCTTCACCACTGTGCTAATCATAACATATTGGCAGCATTTTATCAAAAGCTTACACATGTGAGGGGGCGTGCATGTGTCTAAGTCAAAGAAACTTGATGAAGGTGCAAAGGCTTTTAAATGTAACATCAAAGCTGGGTTTCCACCTAACACCTTCATTGTCATCAACACTCATTCTGACGAGTACAGCAGAATGCTCCTGCACACTGGTAGGCATGGTGGTGGCAGCAGCACAATGATCATGGAAATTGTTGTCATGTACACTGGCAAAATTTTCATGAAAGGCATGACAAATGCCTCGCATACTGCCAGAAGCAACAAGTCCACAAACACCATCAAGAGAGGGAAGATGTCCTGAAGCAATCTCCCCAAGGTCAGAGGAGGATGGAGAGGCCTCATGCTTGTGAGCTGTGGCCCTGCTGTCAGGGTTCACCACCACTTTGATTGTGTTGTAGAGATGGTTCAAAAGTATGTGTCATTGTTTTACATATCAACCATACTCTCACCATTCTGCAGAGACTGGTTGGATTTTGTGCTTGGGTTCAGTGGATCAGGGACTTTACCACCCTTAGTAGCATCCATTGTATAGTCATTCATTGTTGATGCTGGTGTGTTCAGCTGCACAAATGTCTGGATATCATTTTGTGACATGATCTTCTTGACTCGGAGTGTCTTGAACCACACAACTGTTGTGCTGGTGTATGCTGAGGTCATCAATGGAATACAACAAGTTGAATGTTGTTAGATCACAAAGAACCTCCCTGGTCTGCGTGCATTTGGCAGAGATTTCAACTCTTGTAGGACACCAGGGTGTAATCCATTGCCATCAGACATGTGTGTCGTTAATCGTTTCAAATTGAGACCTAAGAATTCAAAGGTGGGTATTCCATGCTTGAAGGGGGTTGCCTATTTTAACTGCATTGACCAGGTGCACCTGTAGTGCTTGAAATGTGGTTGGATATCCATATGGGTGAAGATAGACGAAGACAATAAGCATTTCAAGAGGGTAAACTGGACAAGTTTTCTGGCATCATTTTCTGCCTTCTATAGACCTGCAAAACTTTTTCGTGGACTTTACTAAAAGGACAAATGGCAAATCTCAAGCTTTGGCGACAAAAGCCAACAGTAAGGGTAGCAAACAGAAGGGGAGGAAGAATCGTGGTGGAGACACCTCTAAAATGATCCAAGACTCAGACATGGTGGATGCCAATGACTTGGATGATCTCTTTGCCATGAAGGTCAATGAATAATATATGTTTGCGATGGAAGTAGTGAATCACCAGCATAGGAAGCATGCAATGACACAAATCTGGCTCATATATACCTGTCCATAAGAGGTCATAGTAAGGACCCATATTGAACAAATGATTGTGCCTTGCTATGCCTGTGGGGTAGGCTGCTCTGAGTTTGATCTTTAATTGTTTCTCCAGTGCCTAACAAGTGACATGATACAGATAGCCCTTGGCATTACTATGTGACATGTACTGCATTAAATTCGACACAGCACAGACACTCAGTTGAAACACCCATGCATTTGATTTGTTTCCCCTGGACAGAGCATCCTACATGTAACAAATGACAATATACAGAGCTGTACTACTTTGGATTTTGTGCAATACCGTACCTCATACACAGATGACATGTGATATATAAATCCAAAATTTGCATTGTCTTTTTAGAGATTCTTGCCACTACCTATGGAAATACCACCAAGGGTCCTAAATTTATTAGACACTGGAGTGCTTTGTGCTGAGTAGGGTTGTCCCACTCCCCTTGCCTGTACAGAGGCCTGTGGCTAGATTTATGTTACCACATTGTCTTATATGCTAAAGTTTGGGCACTTTAGAACCGGGAGACTCAAAGGGGCACACAAAAGGAGAAAGACATGGTGATCATTTGCAGAAAGAACTGTGGGATGGTGCTCATCACTCACATGCAAGCCAGGCTGCTTGCAGTGGATCACTTGGTGGCAATGCACCATAATGTATAGCCCAGAGTGGAGCAGTGTTGCAGTTCTTGATGAATGGAAGGTCCGAGAACCTCTGTGACTGGTTGAACAAGGATTATGCATTTGCCAGGGACTGAAGGACAAGAATTCTTGGATGTGGACCCCTCTCAGTAATGAAAACAAGGTGAAAGTGAAGAGGGCCACATTAGGGCTCTGGATGAGATAGATGTCCTGGAGGAAATTTGTGAACAAGTTCAAGAGGCTTTGAGGATTAAAGGGGAGGATCATCAGCCCTTGGTGGACAAAGGGTATGGGTTTTCATTATTCAAGATATATCTCATGTTGACATTTGGTTCCATTACAGATGAAAAAAAATCCTTTCGATATGTTTGAATCTTAGTTGCTGCTTGATGGATACTTGCAGTGGGGGTATGAGATGCCAGATAACAAAGATTGGAATCTTCAAGACCAGATCCTGTGGGAAGGCCTGTGTAGAAATGGCCACATTGGAGACTACACTGCAGGCTGGCGTTTGGTAGTGAGCCAGGTTGTTTTAGTCAGGACAACTGTCAAGGGTGTGTTGAAGGATGCAGGGGGCATAATTTCAACCATAACCAAGGTCAGTGTTATGATGATCATTAAATTGTTTCTGACTCTGATGTTCTGTCCCTAGTGAAATGTGTGTTGGAGGTCCACAAGGGTCAGGAGAACCAAAGCAAGCAGCCTATGGATGTCAATATAGATGGCAGTGAGGAGCCATTCCAGTCAGATGCAACCACTGATATAACTCACATGTTCTACGTGGCAAGGTCACTTGAACAATGGTTCATCTGGTCAACAGCAGACTATCCAGCAAGGAGAAAGTCATGGGCCTACAGACTAGACATCTCAGCATAGCAGTGATCATGCTGGGGATCCTCCTGCTGAGCTTACTTTTGCCCCTATGCACTTTATGGATTCCTCTCCTCCTCCTCCTCCTCCTCCTCCTCCTCCTGCCTCTGCCCCTTCCCATGTTCCAGCTCGATATGGTACTGCCAATGAGGCTATAGTAGATGAAAAGCTGCTACGTGTCTATAAGGGTTTGGCTGCATATGTTAGGCAAATGAATTCCTTGAAGGGGTATGTATCAACTCTCAAGAACACCTTCTCTGCCCCCAAGTAGGGCACCACCATTGATGTGTACCTCAAGGAGCTTGGCACCATCTCTTTGGAAGGTTACACAGCCAGGCACTTCCAACCACATGTCCAATTGTTGGTCTCACAGATTAATGCCATAGGAGCCAGATTGAAGGCCAATGAAAGGAGGAAGGCCTTGCTATGATTGTGTACACTGCATGCTTATACTTGGTTTGAGACCTGGCTTCCAAAGGGGTATGCACTGTGGTCTGGATGAGCTTGGGAATTTGATGCTAAAATGTACTGGGCAGCAATTCTATAAATTTCTCATGTACCTGTCAAGGAGGGAAGTGTGGTTGGACTCAGTAGTTTATTTAGCTTACCTAATGTTGGACAAAACTAATTAATAGAAACAGAAAGTGTCTACTTTAGGTGCTGCAGTAGTACAACACAGAGTCTCAGTTGTCATGGACAACACGTGTCCACACATCACCCACCCAGATACAGTCAGGAGTAGCCATCATGCAGACTCCTAGCCCTCAAAACAGGTCTCTTTGCTGACCTCTTAGGCAAAACTGGGATGAGTATATGGGCTGTTTGAAATTTCACCGAGCTCACATGACCTGGCTTTCTTCTGGTGCCCCCTCTGTGTTCCACTTCTCTTGTGTATAATCAACTTCTTTCTTCTGTGTTAATGACATTTGGTTGAACCATTCTCGTGCATGACAAGTACGAAACTTAATGGGATCCTTCACACCTTTTCTCGCCTGCTCTGCCTTGTCAAATTCATTGATTTCTTGTTTAAACAATCTCTGAGCCACATCCCAGTCAGTTAGCTTTTTCTTATAGAAAGAAGCTTCCTTTGGACGGGCACTAATCTCCCTTGCCTTTGCAGCTCCTTCCTCATCAGATTCTTCTTCATCAATTTTGCATCCATAGTATTTTTTGATTGCCTGCAAGTAGTGTATTAATAGACCTATCAAATATCCTAACATCAGTAAAAATAATACCTTCTTCAAAGAACTTGGCAAAGGCACTTGTTCACCTTGTTCCTTGTGAGCTGCAACGATGGCCTTTCAAATTTTCTTGATTACACAAGACCGCTCCGACTTTGAATCTTTGGCAGCCAAGAACTTGGATTTATAACTGACAATGATACCTCTGAAGCTACTGGTCCAGTCTGAAGACATAGATATATGACCAGAAGGTATTATTTAAAAAAGTAATGCTGTGGATTAACAGTACTAGGATGTATGAGAGTGCGGCTGGCCGGTGATCTCAGTCAAAATATTCTGATCAACATCAACATGTCACATGGATCATGTGATCGTGTTTAAGTCATGTGATCGTGATTGATTCACGTTTCAAACTTCATGATTTGAGAGCACATCAAAATAGATTCAGTACTGTAGACGTACGACAAGAGACATGTAGATATAAGACATGAAGGGCGAGCAAAATATAGGCCTACAGGGCAAGTTGGATCCAAGACAACTGAGGTGATTTACCATATGTAAGAACTCTTGTCAAATTCTCCGGTTGACGAAAATCAAAGGACTGGTTGCAAATCTGATTCTTACATTCAAAATAATAAACCTTGTGATGGTTCACCGAAGTCCATGAGTCAACCCACCCACACTTTGGGCATTGAACAGGAAGGTACTGCCCCCAAGCGAAACAGAGCATGGGTCCATGCGAACTTGGTGATGTTCAATGAGTCAGAATTCTTCACCAACAATAAAATGTCAGAGTGCTGACCTAAATTGTGAGAGTGACCCAGCATGAGGGAATGCGTGGCTGATAGAGAATCGCTTGATGATGACACGCTCGATGAATGCGAGAAGAATATGTGTGGTAAAGCTTGGCTGGAAATGTACTGCATTGAAGGCTACAGTAGCATAAAGTTGATGTCTAGTATAACCAGATTAAGTCAGACACAAGATGGATCAAGAATAGCTTACTGGAGTACTGAGGTCTTCAAGTTTGCAAAGCTTTCAGAGTTGTTGACAATAGTGCCACAACAGAACAGCCATAGGTATGATTCAACAGCAAGGTTGATGAGATCCTTGAAAGGACCAAGCACAATGTCCAGAAACTTTGTTTCAGACTGTCAGTACACATGCGAAGTTAAACAAGCGAACTTACAGTATTGACTTGAGTAACAATATATATTTCTTCTTGCCCTTGTAGCCTACAAAGGGGTCACCAAAGGTATTGTCCGTATGGTCAGAGATCCCAAAGATAATGTGTTTCCAACCGCCAGTGAAAGCCAAGAGTTCAAGGACAAGTTTGTTGACCGTAGAATGAAACCTGACGATCTTCGAATCAGAACCAACATCAAAGATGACCTCACAAAAAAACGATTCCACCATTAGGAAAGTATGGCATGAGAAAATTGTGCGCGAGTTTGAAAGGTCCACCCGTTGCGTTGTTGTTGATGAGGTTGAGATGTATAAACAGCACAGTTTCGGCCAAAACCTGTGCTTGGTGAGACAACTCAAGTGCCCCATGGATCTGAAGGAATGTGTCGAAAATGGGCTTCCCATCACAGTAAAATCCCTGTAGTCAATATATACATGATTGAATCAATATAATAAAAATAAAACCAAAAACAAAGGTTAGGGACTCACAAAGTAAGGATTTTGGGGGCAGCGGCCATGATATTGAGCTAGGACATGACAAGAAATGCAAACGAATTTGATGCTGACTCCAGAAATAATGTCCTGGTGATGTGGCATGATCTGCAAGCAGTAGGAGCACATAGTGCGTGGACACAAGTCGCACATGAACAAGCAGTCGTCATCCACTAATCCATCGCGACAAACAAGACAAAACTGTAGGTACAGTGGCTCAAAAAACTGTCCGCATGTTTTCACATTTTTCACTATCTATGATATTGTGTGAGAATGTACAAACACATCAAGGACATGCTGGTACCATATTGTGGTACTACTTCAGGGCTTCCAATTGAGCCCTATGGCGTGGGAATTGGTCGAGATATGGTGGAGATATGAGGCTTACAAAATGATGACTCATGCGGACAGTTTTTTGACTCAAGTATTTTACAGTGATAATCAGGTATTCTAGTACATTGTGTGACCTCCCTTGGCTTTAATTACTGCCTCTATCCTTCTAGGCATACTCTCAATTAATTTCTGGCAATATTCTGCTGTAATCCTTGCCCATTCCACTGCTACTCTCTCCCATAGCTCCTATACTCCTTTAGGGGGGGTTTCATAGGCTTGAAGCATCTTCTTGAGTATTCCCCAGAGATGTTCAATGACATTGACATCAGGGGACTGTGCTGTTCAGTCAAGAACATTGATATTATGTTCTTTAAACCATTGTCTGGCTCTCCTAGATGTGTGCTTGGGATCATTATCCTGTTGGAAAATGATGTCTTCTTCATCAATCCCTGAGTCAGCTATGCTAGGCAGCAAGTGGTCATTTAGAATGTCCACATACTGCTCAGCATCCATCCTCCCCTCAACTTCAGCAGGCATACCCACACCATTCCATCTCATACAGCCCCATACCATTAGAGAACCTCCTCCAAATCTGACAGCCTCACTAACCTCTCTGTCTGTTAGAAAATCCCTCTTCTTTTTCCATACATATACCTTCCCATCTGACCCAATCCTATTGATTTTGGTCTCATCTGAACATATAACATGCTTCCAGTCCTCTACAGTCCAGTTTTGATGGGCCAAGCCAAAGGTAGTCTTTTCAGCCTATGTTTAATAGAGATAAGAGGCATTTCTTCTTTGTTACTGCCTTGAGATGAGCTGCCTTGAGAACATTCCTCACAGTTTGTGAAGAGACAGTGGTGGTGATGGTGTAATTGGTATAATGGGTGGCTTGGAGGGCATTATTAGCCTTTCCTGTAGTGATATGTTGGATGATAGCCCCCTTATTAGCAGAGGTGGACGTCCTCCACAAGAGTTTTCCTTGTCCAGGTGGCTTTCTTTGATACACTTGGCTGCAGTAGACTTGCATACTTCAGTTCTAGAGGAAATTTGATGAGCAGAGAGGCCAGCATAGGACAAAGAGAAGATATTATCCCTTTGAGTAGAGGAGATGGCTTTCATGGTAATTATGACCATGACACATGAGACATTCTGGTTTATATAGTTAGATATAGTTTTAAGAGTATGCCTAGAAGGATAGAGGCAGTAATTAAAGCCAAGGGAGGTCACACAATGTACTAGAATACCTGATTATCACTGTAAAATACTTGAGTCAAAAAACTGTCCGCATGAGTCATCATTTTGTAAGCCTCATATCTCCACCATATCTCGACCAATTCCCACGCCATAGGGCTCAATTGGAAGCCCTGAAGTAGTACTACAATATGGTACCAGCATGTCCTTGATGTGTTTGTATATTCTCACACAATATCATAGATAGTGAAAAATGTGAAAACATGTGGACAGTTTTTTGAGCCACTGTAGATGTAGATAGATGTAGTTAGTTGAAATGTTAAAGAAAAATGGTGTTTAGACGCACATTATTATGATCCGTTCTCTCCTCCTCCTCAATCCTCACAGACCCCACTTCTAACCTTGAAATGGTCGAAACGGCACCAGGTAGGTTGAGGGTGACATGAGGCGCTGCGCCACCAGTCCACTTCTCACAAGTTTGTTTGGTCCGAGGGGGCATGGCACAGTTGTGGATGCTGGGATCGCATATACTGATATGATGGCTGCTGCTGGGTAAACACGAAATCAGAGAATCGCAGAAACAATGGTAACACACTGAGAACAATGGTATAGTATTAATATTGAGACTACAAACGGGAGACGTGCTAGACTTGCAAGTTCACAAACATGTCCAAACAACAAACAACACCAAATAGACATGTTGGTTCAAACTTCAAACTTCAAACGCACTGTTGACTTTGCTCTTTCCACACATCTTCACACTACACACCTTTTCTTTTCTCATCAATCTATGATACACGCTAATTCTATGGTAGATCCTTTGGATCCTTGCAGGCTGCACCTGCAAGGATCCAAAGGATCTACCATAATGTCAACTTTCATGCCCAGTAAGTTTTTTCTTCATTGTGTACTGTTTGCTAATGTTTATCTCTACAGCCATTTAGCGTCTCCCACTCAATGGTAAGTCTTTCACTTCATTCACAACGCGCTAATTTCGCTCTTTAGTTCTAGTGTTTTCTATAGTGTGTCCTTCATTCAGTTCACTGTGCACTACTCAATGGTAAATCTTTCATTGTGTTCACTATGCGCTAGTTTCTCTCTTTAGTTCTAGTGTTTTCTCTGGTGTGTCCTTCACTTGGTTCACTGTGCGCTAACATTTCTCTCTCTCCAGTGTCTTTTTCATGTCTCTCCCGCAGTTAGATTCGGTGTCAGGATTGTTCTCAAGTCCATGTTTCTTTCTGTTCACTGCCTGCTAATCTGCCATTCTCTCTAGTATTTTTTCATGTCTCTCTGGTAAGTCTTTCATTCATTTTACCGCACGCTGATGTTATCTCCCTCTAGTGTATCTTCTCTTCTTAGCGTCTCTCTTGTTGGTAGTGGGTGATCTGGGGGCTTGCATGCGGTGCATGCCACTTGTGAGTGGCTCCCACTATTGAATCTGGGTGCTTACATGTGGTGCATGCCACTTGTGAGTGGCTCCCACTCTTGAATCTAGGGGCTTACATGCGGTGCATGCCACTTGTGAGTGACTCCTGCAATTGATTATGTGGGCTTGCATGCAGTGCATGCCACTTGTGAGTGGCTCCCGCTCTTGATTCTGGGGGCTTGCATGCAGTGCATGCCATTTATGTTCATGATGAGCGGTGATTTTTCCTTATTCACACCTAAGTCACATCTGACTTGGAAATATTTCTAGTCTCACAAGACTTTGATGCAACATAAATTTCAGAAGCTAAGTGCCGTATTTGATGCTGGGCGACATTTTTATCATCTGTAAGTCCGCATACTACTCAAAAACATTTCTCGCTGATAAATCTTACAGGACTTTGTCGCAATATGACTTTCAAAGCTAAGTGCCTTGCTTTGATTATAACTATATCTAATTATTCAGCAGGGTCATAAATTTACTTTGTAGACTTTCTTTGGAGTGTACGGCTTCGGTGAGGAGGGCCCCCTCATTGAAGTTGTGCACTTCCCTAATTTTTTCTTTATGTGGTTTGCATTATGAAAGTCTTAGTAATTGATTGTTTGTGTACTACTTTGTCCTGCTATACATGTCTCCAAGTCATGTGACTGTGGAAATATTCCTTTAAAGGAAACAAGGTATCGTCCGATGAACTGGACCTGGGCTATGATGACATCTGAGTAGTATTCTTATGTTAATGTCAGTATTCTGAGTTTTAAGTAGTATACTCAATATATGATAGCATCTTGTACAGGCTAGGTGTGATAAGCTGACAACAACGATTGTTGAGATCAAGGCAGGAAAAGATGAGGGTTCAGAGCTGACAATGATAATTTGCACACTCAACTTGATCACTCGAGGATTTCTCTTGACATGGAATCTAAGCTCGAGACTATATCTGATGGTTGTTCACAGTTTTGTGTGATCGGAATCAAATGGTAAAATGGTTTTGTCCTTGTGCTATTATTTCCTTGATCCCGTTGTAATCAACCAGGAGATGTGGTGAAGGACAGGACACTCAACACAATCACTCTAGGATTTCTCTTGACATCAGATCTTAATTTGACCATCCAGAGTGCACTTGTCCCGAAAGCACTGGTCCTCAAGTCTGATAGTAATCATGCTGCTCAAATGATGATGAAAATGATTCTGAGGAAGTCAAGGATCTCAAGGTGAGTTGCCTCGTTTGTTCTAATGAACAGCCTTGGTGCCGATGATGAAGATGTTCTTCTTAGCATTCATACTGTCCATCTCCATCAATATTTGGTTAAGTACGCAGTCCCCTGCACCTCCTGCATCACCCAATGAGCCACCACATGCCTTGACAATGAAGTGCAAACTCATCAAAGAACATGACACAAGGAGCAGCAGCACAGGCCTTGTCGAATACATCACAAATATTGGCTTCGGATTCACCGAACCACATCATGAGCAGCTCAGGCCCCTTGATGCTGATGAAGTTGGCTTGACATTCATTGGTGATGCTTTCGCAGGGAGAGTCTTACCCATCCCCGGTGGGCTGTAGAATAGCATTCAAAGACGCTTAATATGTGTTGTCACCACACAACTCACTTCTTAGCGTTCGTACCACAGCTCCTTTTGCCTTATATCTCTGAAAATATCTACCCTTAAAGGCACTCTATCATTTTGGTCTTTGCATATTATTCAGTCTCTTCTTACTTTACTCAAGAAGCTTGGTGATTGAACTCATGGGGTTATGACTCATTTGAGTCTAAATGAAATTTGGGTCAACTCCAAGTCGGATCAAATTCATCAAACCTAATTTGGATCAAATATTAATATGAAATTTTTGAGCCAAGGAAGTTGAACCAATTCACTGTCCACTGTAGTCCAAGTTAATTGTGTCTTTCATAGCTCCTTTTGCCTTATATCTCTAAAATATATATACCCTTGAAGGCACTCCATCATTGCAGTCTTTGCATATGTTCAACAATGGCTAAAGGCCATCTCTGGCACAGAATTGTTCTTTAATGCCGTAACAGCTTTCATTGCTCCTGAACAATTTGAGGCAGCCTTAGCTGCAGCCTTGAAGATATAGAGTGCCACTTTGCAGTCTAAAAAAACTGCACCAACATCTCAATGGCCATCTATTTTTTCTGGATTAGAGCTTATTGTTAATTGGGTTACTTTGGGTCACCATGATGCTGGTGGGGCCTCATCTCATTACGACCTCCTAGCCAGTTTGGGCATTGGGCACAATGCAAATTTTCGCATCGAAGATCTAGAAGCAGAACTTGATTATTTCCCTGGAACATTAGTAAGTATTTTGGGCAAGGTACGAACCTCATTATTTCTTCATTGAACTATTTCTTAAATATGTGGGAAGGTTTTGGAGCACTCTGTCAGTCCCTGGAAATTGGAGAAAGATTTGTCGTTACACATTTTATGAAGGATAAGGTTCATGATCGAGTAGGGGTGTCTAAGCCAGCATTTCCATTTCAGATGGACTTTTTACAACATATTGGGAAGTGATCCTACAGATCATAGACCTAGGAAACATGTCAGGAGGGAGATATAGGTGATCTCATGGTCAGATCAGGACTCCAATTGGAAGAAACCTAGTTGGGACTTGGTAAATGTTTTGTTTCTAATTACAGAAGTGATAATCATTATAGAAACAGTCAAGACTCTCTTGAGAAGCATAAACGAGCCATCAAGGGAATAGCGATACAAAGCCTCCTTTTGATGAGCTAACACACTCATTGGCTGACGAAAAAAATGCCATATGGGAAAATGATGAAAAGAAGGCTATGGAGGAATGAGGCAAATATCTTGACATTTGTCAGCTCAAGATTGATCAAGGTAATTCATCACTACTACTGTCCAGTGCAAATAATGGCTAACTGATATGTATCATTGTAATCTGAAGCCCCTACAATGGCCGACCTAGGGAGTCAATCCCCTAGGCCGGCTAACAGGAGTTGACTAGGATCAGGCCCAAGTCAAAGAACAGAAGAGCAGGGCTAGAAAAGGTAATATTTAGACTGGGTATCTACAGACAAATGGACATAGGTTATATACTCTAAGTAATGAGCATAGTGATAGTAGAAGGCTATGTGCTGAGGGTACAGGATTAAACAGGATGACTGAGAGATACGAGAATAAGGCTTGGAGAACAGTATGTACATGATGGATCAATAATCACTAAGGTATAGGAATTACCAGTGATCCGAAAAGTAGAACTATGATTCTAAATGGAGATAGGACCGTTGAGTGGTTCCTAGTCTAGGAGTGGACCATGAGGCGGTCGGATGGACTAATAGTCGGGAGGGGGAATACGAGTGGAACTGAAGGATCCACGCGGGTTGGAAAAGCGGAGGGAGTAGGAGTAGGATCAGGCGGACCGATAGGGCGGAGGAGCGGAACCCCAGATCGGACAGAGGTAGCAGGGCTAATCCTGCTGAGATGCACTTCATACATTATTGGGGATGGAGGAATGGAGCGGACGGGGAAACAGGAGGTCGGACCAGGGGTGGGGACGTTGATGATAGGTGGTATTGGGGGTGCTCGGATCCGTATATGACAGGAACAGTATCTTGGATCATTCAAGGCATCAATCTTGAGGATGCCCAGTACGTCATAAGTGATTCATCATGAAAGCATGACCACATTCATTTTAGGGATGGGTTACAATCAGAGTTTCATTGCCTCCCATCTGATGCCACTGCTGCTCAGAAGGCTACTCTTCAAGAGAAACGACAGAAACTATCAGCTCGTATAACTGCATTCCATAAAATTGCTGCAGTGTGGACAAGCTCCAGAGGTCGAGTAGCACGCCATTGAGATGAGGGGAATGGGTTTGCATGCATCTTGCCAGCTAAGCATGGCTCACAGATGGGATCTGGCATTTTCTTTGAATCTAGCTTGAGTCCAGTGACCATGTCATGATCAATAAGCTTCTTGACACCTGCTAAGTGATGGTGGGCGAGTCTCCTGTGCCATAGGTCCAAGTCCAGAGGTAGAGTGGTCGCTGCAGAGGCATATTCAGAGAGAGGGAGTGGAGCCATCTAAGAATGCTGCATTGCTGCTGCTGATGGGTGCAACAAACAATGTGGTGCCTGCAGGACGCTGAAATGACATCTTGGTGGAGTCAATGGTGACATGGAAGCCACTGTGGCGAGTGAGGTAGAGGACAGAGAGCAGGTTGTTGCGAAGGTCAGGGACATGCAAGACTCTTGAAAACTCGACAGGTCTAACGCTCTTGCCATCAATGACTGGGTTGAAGACCACAGTGCCAACACCAGCAGAGTAGACAAAGGTGTTGTCAGCTAGCTTGATAGGGATGCGATTGGGAGTGTAATTGCGAAGCCAGTGACGATGAGGGGTCATGTGGGATGTGGCACCTGTGTCTGCATTCCAGTCGACAGTAGCATCAAGTTGAAGGGGACAGATGGTGCTTGAAGGGTCAAAAGAGCGAAGACAAGCAGTGCCAGCAAACTCAATGATAGTAGAGTTGATAGGAATAGGAAAGGAAGTGGGAGAGGGCGATGCAGTGGGGTCTGTGAGACTCTGAGTCTTCCTGGAGAGCTTCTTGGTCTTCTTCCTCCTGCTACGACGCTGTCTAGAGTACAGGGAGGCAAGGGTAGACCAGATAAGCACAGGATGATCTTCAATAGCATCAATCTGGGACCTCATCTCCAATGGGCAAGCCAGATAGAGTTCCCCAGCAGCTTGGTCAGCCTTAAGGTCCCATACAGCCTGTGCCTCAGGCTGTGAGTCTGCAGGACGCTTCTCAGAGCCACTGACAAGCAGCCACAAGCCCTTGGAGCGCAGGTAAGACTCCATCTCTGATCTCCAGATAAGATAGTTGGAAGAGCTGAGTTGAGTGATAGTCATGGGTGACATAGCAAGGGATTGGGTGGCAAGCAGGACGGTCTAGGATGATGCAGGACGTTCAGGAAAGCAATGGATAGGACAGGGAGCGACAGGGGGTAGATGACCAAAAGGGGCTATGGAAAATTTCAACAAAGCCACTTGGTTGAACTACTCAAAAGCAACACAATGGGTGTTCCAACAGTCCAAAT